CCAAGAAGAGAAAAAGGAGAAGCGATCAGAAGTCGGGGGGCGATTTTAAATAATGAAACAAGCACAGAATGAATTTAATAAGTGTCGATAATAATAATATAGTTTAGAGACATCAGAAGATTATTGGTCCTGGAATCGACTATCACTTGTCTGGATGCATAAAATCCACCAACTTTGTACCTTGGGGTATCTGTTCTGTCTTAAGTAGATGCTCCGGCCGTGAGTGTCATACTAGCCCACCGTTTCCATACAGCAGCTACAAGTCATCTGGAGTCGACTTGACCCTGATGGCCCTGAACAGGGTCCGCATTCGGTCAATCCCATTCCCCGACGATGGGATAATCTTGATTTCCGATCGAAGATGACAATAATTGTGATCATACTTCTTCAAGAAAAGAGACAATGGCCTCAACCATCCAACTCATCTGAGGGCGAAATTTCGAGAACAGTCAGTTTATTCACAAGTCACAACTACCGAATTAGGACTGGTAATGTTGGTATTATTGCCCGCTGATAAGCCGGAGTCAAGAGCCTTGTATTTACAATACACACAGGGCCTAGTCGCTGGACCCACAGCCACCAAAGTCAATTCTGCGGCTTCTGCCTGCTTAAGACTCAAGAGTCCATTATTTCCATTCCAAGCACAAGTCATTATTATTATGGGATTTTAAATTTCAAGGCGTTACCCTCCATTTCCAGTAGTAATGCTTGACTCTCCAGAGGAAATTACCCAGTGTAAGGTAAAAGTATTGGGTGGAAATGAAAAGTCATAAAATACGCCCAAGACAAGCACGGGACCCTCAAAGGAGACGCCGAAGGAGACACCCGACCACTAAGAAAAGAGCTCCAACTTGTCTCACCCCATATGCCGGACTATTAATCGATCACCAAGCCGGAAGGAAGAAACAGGCAGACCCTCAGAAAACACACCAGATTTGATCCATCCCACCTGCACCCACCATTCAGTTCGAATCGATGAACTGCTCTGAGCCAATCAGATAAATTCTTAGGTCTACTCCGTATTTGATATGAACTGTAGAAAGGTAGCTAGGATCAAAATTATATAACAAAGCTACTTCTGCTACGCATATTGTTCCCTCCACTCTGTAGAGTCAAGAACCAAGTGTTTCCCATTTCTTGGACTCTTGGTTGGCTTCTTGGTTTCTTGGTTTCTTCTTGGATTAGTGACCGCCGACCGACTGGTGATTTGGTATGAGTTGGCAATGACAAAGAGAAGGAACGTGTGATGATACCCTGGATTGACTCCCAGAAGCGTGACAACCGACAAGTGACAACTCCACACGAAGGATTTGAAGGATTTAAAAGTTTTATTTTTAGACTGCCACAGAAGTCTTACCTCTTGCCACAAAAGTCTGTTCCATGCGCTCATTGGAATGCCGCTGAACCAAATAAGACTGGGCTGCAAAGAAGGAAACAATTCAAGTCTCCGACCATGGATTTTTGATCGAATTCGATCAGGTACATAGATAGTGACGCACTATCATTGTCATCTTTAATTTGATTGTCATGCTTCATGGTGATATACCACAGCTGCTGGCTGGAGTTGGACAACAACTGTGAGAACGGTAACACCACATTGATTTACCCCTTTCCTTGCAGCCATGCCAGCATGAGTTTCACAGCATATACTCTCCTTACTCTAATAAACAAAAGCACTATGAACAGCTTGATTCTAAACTACTAAACCTCACAAGTATTGTGGAACAGCCTTCGGCTCGCGGACAACCTACATTCCAATAGACATCATATCGACGCCATATCTGGAACCCTGTCAGATGGCATTACCTGTTGATTCATCAACGTATCACTACTATTCTATCCCACCTAACGATGATCATTGCCAGCTGCATCGTATTGTAGGAAGCGTACGTGTGCTGTCTACGACATGTGCACATGCCATGAATCTTTTCATGTAAGCAGGTTGGATATTGCCGCAAGTCTAAGGACAGTAGGAGGTTAGACTACCTTACTATATATTCGGAACTTTCACCATGCGGTGGTCACTATTACAGCATCAGTCAACATCCAACCAACAAGATCGTCGCCTTGAGCAATGTAGATGAAGACGGATGTTCCCATAGCACTAATCTAACACATCTATCCACTTTGTCCTCTCTTCCAGTCCAACATAATTTAAGTTGAAACTTGAGTCGCAAGGTTGAAATACATGTACCCTGTAGAAACGATAGTCTACTCCGTCCAGCAGTGCTTGATAGCAGACAGTTAAAATCTTGCCATTACAGGACATTCTGACTCAATCTACTGTAGGATGACCAGCTCACCTACAATGCCATAGCCTCATTTGAACAGGAATGGCTTGTAAACTGATATCGACCTCAATGAGGTCGAACGATTTGTTCCCACGAGTTTAAGGACCATCCGTGTCGTGCTCCCATTCCACGGTTTCACCGGTCCTCCCTATGGAGAAAGCTCCAACTCGTGAACAAATTGCCCTTGCTTGACTGTTCTCTTCTCGGCTCCTGATATATCCACTTCGTTCCCTCACATGATTTCATCACATCAGTATCGTAGCCATACTATGACTTTTTCTGCGCCTCTCCGCGACATGATCAACGCATCGATTTCTTCGCGAAGTTCAAGTTCTTCGCAAAGCTGGACCGTGCTGTATCCTTGACCAAAACCAACTCCTTTTCGCAGGGATCCGAGGAGTAAGTCACCGAAACACCACTGTAGACAGCGCGGGTGTCCTTCCACTTGTTGAAGGCCTCCAGGACTCTGCGAGCAACGGCAGTGCTCGTGAACACGGCAGTAGCTATGTTATGGTTAGCCTTCGTCCATATACAGGGAACTGTAACATGAAACTCACCGTTTCCAGAGTTAAAAACCCAGAGGAAGTCGATGTTGCCGAGTCCAGCGACGGCACGAATGTCCGCCTTCCATTTCTCCGGCGACATGTTATCGGCAAACAGCCTCTTTCTCGCGAAAGACAGGCGCCGACGCTCTCGGATGGGCTGGTTCATCCGACGGTGTTCATCGTTCCAATCGATGATCTCGGCCATCTCGACGGTGTAGCCGGTGCCAAAGCGCCCGTATCCGAGCATCTCCTCCATCTCCTGGTTTGACTTCACAAAGGCAAGTGCGTGAGAGGCATACTGGAAGGTGACTCTGGTCCTTTCGTTTGTCTCAACCCGGATCTCCTGCAGGGGACCCTCGTGGATACGGGTGGTGACGAAGCGGATCGCCTCCCTGGAGACCCTGCCGTAAATACGTACAACGCCCGCTTTGGCTTCAGCAATCTCGGGTGAGAGTGGTGCCCCGGAGAAATCCATGGCTCTCGCGCCATTCTCGCCATCAATGCTGTGGCTTTGCTTAGATCCAGAAACAGACGACATCGACATAGGCGACAGATAGTGCAGTGTTTCCTTTGGTTGGCCCTGAACCTTCGCCATGGATCCGGCAACCTGAGCCCAGCTTCCAGCTCGATTGCCGTGGCCCCTGACAGGCTCTTTGTTCTCCTTCTCAACTTCGTTCATAAGGGCAGCAACAGCTTGCTTCTGGATTGTGTCATGACGCATGATCTGCTGGTTTTCGGCACCCATGTTCCTGATAGGGAGCTATTGTGTTTTAGCTTTGCGACCATGTAACAAAATGACCAGAAAGTACTTACACTGTCGTCGAGCACGTAGTCGCTATCGGGAATACGCTCGATTCCCTCAGAGAAGGCATTGACGATCATGATGCTCAACTTTCCCAGTTCATTGGCTGGCTTGTGTTGCTCATGCTTCCGGAACTGCTGTCATCAGTTTGCCGTCCCCATTACCTCCACGGTGCGAGACTTACGTGACAGGCAATGCGATTCAGATGGCCCAATGCCTCAGCCATAGCCCCATCAATGGTATACATCGCCATTGTCAGTAGGATCGAGATGTTAAGCCAGGTTGTCGGAGACTCCTGGTTGTGTGTTGAGAGGTGTCTGTACTTGAGAGCTCAAGCTCCGTATCCTGTTTTCAATGATGCCAATGTTAGACACAGGTGCAGGACAGCAAGGTGTTTCTGAGCCATAGGGTTACTCACTGCTTACGCTTTTGAAAAGGGTCAAATGAGTCTTCGCGGAACAGAAAACTGTAGGAGGGAGCGACCAGGACGCTGAGTTGTCAGAGATACAGCCAGACGAGAAGGCAAGGCAAAGATCAACACAGATGGTGGTGCTCTTTGTATCAATGACAGACAATGTGAGCCGACTAAACGTCAAGAAAGGAAGTTGAAGATGAGCAGAGAGTATTTGCTGTTTCTCAAAGGACCTTTATTGTCTCAGTGTTACTCTGTGAGGAAGGTGAACATTTCTCGCGAGTAATTGAGCAGCTAGATTGATAAATAAGCCCTCAGAGCCTAGTCTGATTACAAAAGAAGGAGAGATGCAGAGAAGAGGAATAGAAGAGGCTGGAGCAAGTGAAAGAAAGAAGAGAAAAGTGAGAGTAGGAAATGGCTGTAGGCATATTCTCTCTTAGAGAAGTGAAGTACTGTACTTGATTAAGTCATAGATAATTCTGCTAAGGCCATTATATTCTACTATTATCACCCTAGAAGATTCTAATACCCTTTCTCTATAGATTTAAAGTGACTACTGGGTACTATAGGATTATATCCGTCTCTCTACTGAGTGAGTTCATAATCTCCTTAGATATTCTCTAAATACTTTCTCGCGATATAAGGCACTGTAGTTTAAGTATTAGAAACCCTAGTGAGATTCTCTTACTTCATCCATAGCATTCTAAAGGCCCCTTTACACCTAGGATAAGTAGAAACGCATACCTTCTGACTGTGGATGCTTGGTTATCTTAAGTAACTGTGTCTATTAAGCTGCCTTGGTATCTGCGACTTCATACAATAACATCTCAAGTCTCTGATATTGTTCACAGAAGCTGTAGAAAATCTTGAGCATTTCAAAACTAGTCTGTGAAACAGGCCTCTACGACAAATACGTAGTATCGTCGTACTGATTTGGATTTGCCAAAAGACCGTACTGTCTCCAGCTGTGCTCCCTATACAAGCAAATTGCTCCTGAAGGTGTGAGTTTTCCCGTGAGAACTAAAGTCACAGTGAAGTATTTGATAGAGTTTGACCACAGATGTCACACATTGAGATTATATACAGTATCTAAATTTTGGCGGATAGTCAAGAGAGGGGAGGGAAGTCTCTCACAAAGCTATACGAGAAAAAAGTCAGCAACAGATTAGAAGCCACAGATATATCTAGTTCGAAACTTACTGAGCAGGACATTCGTAGCCGGACGGGTTCTTGGTTAGATAAAGCTGGTGGTAGTCCTCGGCATCCCACCACTGGCCTGCAGGTATAATCTGCGTTGAGACAGGCTGTTTGTACCACTGCTGGGAGACTTTATCCGTGATTTCCTCCGCAATCTTGTGCTGCTCCTCGCCATGCGTGAAGATCGCACTGCGGTACTGTGTGCCGACGTCAGGGCCCTGGCGGTCCTTGGTCGTGGGATCATGCATGCGGTAGAAGAATTCCAACAGGGAGCCGTAGCTGACGACCGAGGGGTCAAAGGTTAATTGAACAGCTTCAGCGTCTGTCACATAAAAAGAATAATGTAAGCATAATAACTTTGACCAACGAGTCCCAAAGAAAGGCAACATACGACCAGTAGTTCCAGTGCACACAGCCCGATACGATGGGGAAGACGTCGATCCACCACAGTAGCCTACTTTAGCTTCGAGAAGGCCCTTTCCATTGCCAAAGTGCTTGCGGAAGAGATGCTCAACTCCCCAGAAGCAGCCCGCGGCCAATGTTGCTTTTTGCGTGTTGTCGGACATGTTCCGAGATGCCGATTCAGAGGTCAAGGATAGGAAAGGAGAGCTAGTCGAGAAAGCACGAAAGTACCGTGAGAACAAAGTCGATCTAATTGCCGACGGAGCAAATGCCATCAATCAGATGAAATACGTACTTCAAATAGTCAGGAAGTCGGAATTTGGAGATAGGAAATTTTCCTGAGGGAGCGGCAAAGGCGGAATGTTGCGATTGCGGGGGTTGATGATGCGTCAGAGGAGACAAGGCGGGCTCCCTTCTACTAGATATTGGATTTTTATAAGACAAGAGGCTCACTGAGATACAAGAAGGCAATTCAACTTCTTTATAGAAGTCTTCTTCAATAGAACCCACCATGGCTTCGTCGACGCTCAACTGGCATAATTTGACGCGATGACATAATCGAGCTTTAGCTCTCCGCACGAGGTTTGGGGTATAGATTAGTTGCCATATGGTATGGCGAACAAAAGCCACGGCCGGAAGAGCAAGTTAACTTCTCAGAATTCTCTCAATCTTTCGAGTCGCGAAGTTGGCACATATCGTACAAAAAGGAGTTATCAACATTGAAAAACAATCAAGTTTACACCAGCTGTTCCCATTTTCTGTCGGTGGGATGGGCCTATCCTCGGCCATGCATTGGTAAGTTGCAAAAAGGCAAAATTCCCTGTAAAGATGGTTTGAACATTGAAGAAGAAGGAGAGGAAGGAAAAATAACAAGAACAGTGGTATCTGTCTTCCTGAACACCGTCCCAAATACTCCATATCGCCCGCAAGTAACCAATGTAAGTCAACAATCAACGACTACCTCCAGCCTGCTCCAGAGCTAGGGTAGAGAGTCTCCGGGGCCGCTCGATGCTTGGAGCGGCCATAGTACTAAGCCTTATAGCGTCTCTGCTTGTAAGACTGATATCTCGGGGCCGAATGTCACCTCCGAATGTGGTTCGTCTATGACTCGTGCTTTTCATGATCGGAAGAGTTCGAGGACTCAAAACCCTAGGCTTTGGATCAAGCTCTTTCTCACTCTTGACCATCCGCCTGGCCTGCGACGCGGTAAACATTGTGTTTTCGCTTGGAGAGCTTCCATAGGTTGCAGATGTCGGGCTGCGTCGGCGGTGGATGCGGAGGGAGTTGGTAGAGGCAGCGGAGCCAAATTGTCCGCCAGAAATTCGTCTCATCGCTGAAGTGATCTTAATGGCATCATCCTTGCTAGCCTTCCAGCTATCCCTGCTGTCGGACAGTGGGCTACTGGAGTAACTTCCGCTGGATGTTCGGACTGCGATTCGAGACGGACGGTCCATAGAGCTGCGATTCAAGAAACTGCTATTTTCAATATCTCGCAAAGGCGAATTCTCGTTGTCAGAGAGCGGGAGAGTGGAGGTTGGAGGCGGCCCCACAGGCGAGCTGCCGGCCTTCTTTGACAGGAATCCCGCTTTAAACCGATTGTTCTTTTGAACGTGAAGCGTTGGTTCATTGGAAGGAGGCGGGATTGGAGAGGAGCCAAAAGGACTGATGTTTCGGCTAGGCACAGGAATTCCACGTGGGACTGGAGAGGCTCGGGGCAGTTGGGGCTCCTCGCTGGGAGCTTCTTCAGGGATAGTCTCAGTAAGTGGTTTTTGAGGTGTCTTTTGATACTCCGTCAAGGCACCATCTTGCTCGTCGTCCTTCCAGCGGACACTCCTCTTCATTGATTTTGCCTGTGTCTTCTTCGGCGAGAAACTGACACTCTTCCTCCCGGCACCCACTTTACGTCGTCGAGGAGATCCCTTCGTTGGTGATGCCGGGGCAGCGGGAATAAATGTTATTGGTGCCCCCAAGCCTTTCACAGTGGGAAGATGAGCTACGCTTGATCTCCTCTTCTGCTTGGGAGAGCTATGCTTCAATGGACTGAGTGGTTGAGCAGGCAGTAGTGTGCCGTCCGGTTTCACGACATTGGTGGCGACGTTAGCTGACGAGTTGAGCATCTTCAGAAGAATCTTCTTGCCCATTTCAACTGCCTCCTCCTCGCTCAGGTGCATTATCTGCTCAATGGAGGCAATGATTTCAAATTGAGCTTGGAGAAGAACTTGAATCGTTGCCGCCTCGCCTGCCTTGTCTTGGTCGGCCACTGCGGACAAAGACTCTCGCTCCGCATTTGCCCGGAGCAGCTCTGCCTCCCGATCGAAACTGGCAAAGTCGCTATTGTCGCTATTCTCAAAGTCTCTGAGTTGACGAATGGCGTTCTCTACAGCAGAGTTCATAGCTCGGTCCCAGTTATTCTTCGCCAGTCGCTGATGATAATGTTGCCTACTACCCTCCAGTTCGAGGAGGATACCTTGCGCCGTTTTCCGAATCGCTTGCAGATTGGATAAAGGTTCCTCGTTTTCAGAGTTCGCGCACACCGTGTCGAAAGCCGCAATCCATGAAGACAACATGCCGATCCGGCGGCTTACCTGCTTCAATTTGATCATAGTATTGATCTTCTCTTGCCTTTCTGGCAACGAGTGATCATATGCGTTGCGAATACGCGAGACACCTTCCCGAATAGCTGCGTCCTTCTTTTCGGTCTGCTTCTTGAACTTTGCGAAGGCCAGTTTTTCAGATTCCTTCTGCTGAGCTTTGAGCTCATTGATCAGGTTCATTTGCTCATCGATCTTCACCAAGAAGTCTTTCACATGGCGGTTGACGTTGAATACGTTGCGCGTGACCTTAGTCTGTATATTTTTCGCCCGGTTTGCGTAGCGCAGCGTGTTTTGTGTCTCATCGAAATGTTGGCTAGATGGGCTAACACACACAATCATCACCGTCCTACAGTTGCCGCCCAGGGAGAATTTCAGAAGACGAGTCAGCTTTGAGTTCCGGTAAGGAACGTGATTGCGCTTTCGAGGGTCGCAGAGGGCGTTGATACAGCTGCCTAGCGCGAGAAGGGACTTGTTGATATTGGCTCCTTCCAGTAGCCGCTCGCCTCTGTTCTTAGTGGCACTAGCTCGCTCGCTTCCCGCAAGGTCAATGATGCTCAATGTCGCCATTGTATGTGGTTCGTTGACGTCCGCGTTGCGATCCTTCTGGGCGATATTGATCTGAAGAACTGCATGCGACCGAGAGGAAGTGGCGTTGGCTTCCGTTGGCGACATTGTTCGACATTCGTTGCCCCGCATGATCATGTCCATCACCTGTTGTACGTTTTGCGGATGGTGACTCGATAGCCCGGAGACAGAAACCGACTTATTCGTATCCTCACGGAGCATCAAGCCCCCTTTGCTACCACCAGGGACCAGAAGATCGCGAATTGTTTCATTATAAATTTCCAGGTATGAAAGGGATACTTCGGTGTGTTTCTCTCCTGACCGCTCCTCGATTCGTTCGAATAACTCCTGCATGGTAAGGAAGATGATACCGGGCTGTTGTGCTGTGCCGGTGATGGTGTGCGTCTTTCCACATCCGGTGGCACCGTAAGCGAAAACCGTGGCATTATAACCGTCAAGTACGCTGTCCAGGAGGGTTCGTGTAGTCGCTTCATACACCTCACCCTGTGTAGCATTCTGGTCAAAGATGCGGTCGAAGGCGAATGTCTGGTCCTTGACGCGTTTGCCGTTTGGCACAACGCTTCTTGAGAACTTCTGGACTGGATTGTCCTCCGGAGGGTCGAAGACTCTTTGAGCATCGTCAGTTTTTCTTTTGAATTAATAACCTGACCAACATTTGCACTCACAAGCATCTGTCATCAATGACTTTGATAATGGACCGGATTCCCTTCTGATTGAGCTTGGGAGTTGGTGCTCCGGCCAGGGAGCCATCTCCTAAGAATAGGGGACCGTCTTCACATTTCGGAAGCTGTGCTGCCTCTCGGATTGTAAAAGGTCGGACTCGAACGGTAACTGTGATCGATGAGGAGCCGCCTTCGGCTGCCATGGCGTCTATATTAGCGTTCCTCCAGCTTGGGCGGGGAATTTGAAGTCGAAGACGAAAACCAAGTGAAGGGTGAGTTTCGGGTATCCCGCGATGCCCTGCACCCTTCGGCCACGCAGAAAGATTATGGAGAGAATGAGATAAAAGGAAGTTATCAATAGAGAAATAGGTGTCGAGAGTCCACAGCTGAGGAATGTTGACAGTGGGACTCTTCGAAACTCTGGTACCTCTCTAGACTGTTCCTGATTGAGTTATTCTCCAATGATTTGTCTTCACGTCAAGCTGTTGACTTTGGTTGTTTGTCCACGTTGCGTTGCTCGGAGCAACCGTCAGCGGTGTCGATTAGCATAATGGCGCGTGTGCGTACCTACTGTCATCAGACTGTTCTCTAATTATGCAGTGAGACGCAATCGCCACAGCGTCTAATCTTTATGGCCACACACTACTCTATCGTGATTGGCTTGATCATCGCTTTTCGAAGATATTGGAGACCACACTCCAGTCACTTTTGGAGTTACCTTAGAGAGGGGTACCATGAAATAGATAGTCTAGTCACAGCCAAGGCCCTTCGTTATTACCGAGTTCAACATGGATGGTGCAAGTTGGAGATCATATCCAAATTCATCTTGGCTCCCCAAGATTCGACGATGGTTGTTTTCGACACAGGACCGATCTTCTCTCCTCCCAAAATCGCCTAGCGGACTACTAAGGACAGCAGCGATAACATATGAGCGTGTAAATTTTGGCTACGAGATAACATTTTACCGTGGTGAGCCAGACCAAACCATATCATTTCTCGCGGACCCAAACATGAGAAAAGAGAGGATTTTGCATGCGATATGCGGTCGTGAGTAGGACCTATTATTCTACTAGATGCGTAGAGCTATGTTTTGCGGCACACATTCATTCAATCGTCATGTTGCAGTATCCGTTTCTGGACGGTTCAAGTCCGTCATAAAATAAGAAGATAAGCCCTGCCATCTTCTAGTACAAAGCATCGTATGAACACCATTGTAGACCCATAATCCCAGCCGAGCGCCAAAAGCAAGAAGCAGACGAAATGCAGTAGTCTCCACCGCTTTCCTGGCTAATTGGGTTCTCCCTCCTCGTCATCAAGGCTTGGAACAACGACGTCCCAGCCAGGATCCTCCAACTCGAGGTCAATGTCGAGGTCGCCATCTCTCTCGGGTTGCTCACGGGGCTTTCGAAACCTGAAAGCGATCACTTGTCCATTCCGTATATCTGCTGCTTTCAAACTGGTCCGCTTTCCAGCACCTCGTTTGGATGTTCCGCTGTTCTCGAGTTCCGGCATCGCAATCTCCAGTTTCGACCATCCTTTTTCTACGTCGTTCTTGTCCACCGTAACACCAAATTCAATGTCTGAGAAGTCTTCGGGTATATGATCCCCGTTAATCTCCTTGATACCTCGCGATTGGAGAGCTTTGAGAAGCATCTCCTGGGCTGTCGCGATCGTCTCGTGGGGCGGAAGCATTAAAAGCACGGTAGTTTTGTGCTTCTTGAACAGAAGCGTCAAACTCAGAGGGTCCACCTGTGACTGTAATATAGTGTCATGTCAGCACGGTTTCCAATAATCCGACTGCTGTGTTCAAGCTGGTTACTTACCATGGTGGCCTTTGATTTCTGATTATGCGAGCTGGAAGAAGCTTTGGTGGGACCTCGGAGTAAGCAATCAGATAGATACAGACTCGGGAACTCGGAGTAGTTTAGTGCGTCCTTCAGTCTCCAACCTACACAAGAAAGCTGCAAACATCCAGCGCACCGCTCCTGGCGTCGACTGATCCGATCTAGAGTCTGTCACAAATTTGTATTGAACAAGACCGTTCAGTTCTTATAATTCGACATCAGATTCTCCGTGCTTCAACATGGACACCGATTCCCCGACCGAGACGCGCTCTACCGAGCCTTCAACTTTATTGAAGATCCTCCACTGGGACAAGCTTTTCGAATCCGATACTCCTCCAAGATTAGGTATTGATGTTGGGAAGCGATTGCCGTTTACAGCTTTGTCGGCTTTCTCAGTTGGTATGGCGATCGGATCTTCGCATGGAAGCAAGAAGGCCGCATACCGTTTTCGCGCTGAAAATGCGCACCGCTTTCCGACCACATCGACGGGATGGTTTCAATACCACAAGACTAAAAATTACATAGCGATAGTGGGAGGCGTGAAAGAGGGTATGAAGATGGGTCTTAAACTCAGTGCTGGTGCGCTTGCGTTCTGCCTTTTCGAAGAGACTGTGGACTATGCTCGGCACGACAGGAGGGATTTCCTCTCGACTATCACGGCCGGACTGTCCTTTTCTGGCATTTACAGCCTGCTAGGTATGATCCCGCTTGGCCCAGTGTACCCATACGATAGGATCACAGCTAACTGAAGATATTCCATAGCCCGACACGACGTCTATACGGCTGCTCGCACAACGAAACTCGGCTTGAAACTGAGTCTGGCTTATGGGCTGATGCAGGATGCTCTTGAGACTCTCAAGGGAAACCGTCCAGCCTATGTGGATTTCATTTTAGGCAACCGCGGGAGCAAAAGCGAGGATTGAGGCAAATTCGCAACTGAATCTTTCCTCCCTCTGGTGACGATAGCGAACCCAAGATCCGACATGACTTTCACACCTGCGCATCACCTGGAGATACCTTGATGGTCGACACAGAAGTGACGGCAGATGGGTGCACAATCACAGTCGCGGCTTGAATGTCAGACTTCCCTGATACTTAACTTCAGGCAGAAAGTGATGGGTTTGACCGAGGTCCACATCACCCAAATCCGCAAAAAGATCACTTGGCACAATGAGACTTGGTAGGGTAACAATTTTATCGTTCCTCGATGATACCATTCCCTCCCAGGCTGAGGTGACAGCATCGAGATTGAACTCAGTTATGGCTGTTTGGCAGGCTTGAACTGTCGTCGATGAGCAGTCTGGCAGCTGCCCCTCACTTTCAATTTACGGGCTACCTAGCAGTGAGGTACGAGACAAGTCGCCTTCCCTTTGGGAAAGAGTCATGTTTCTCCCACCAAGTACATCGTCCACACTATGAGGGAGCTGCACTCTCTAACTTTGACCTTATGATTGTCAGGCTTTATCTAGCCTATGTACTCTCCTCAAGCCTCAGAATTAAGACTGGTTTCGAGTCTGGAAGCATAATGTCCCGCTCCTGGTGCTAGAACAAAGGGGACTAGGTCTTTCATAGATAATATTAATGGCTTCGGCATTTCCTGCTGGTCGTGGGTACAGATTTCTCGTAGAACCCCGTAATCAAGAGGTGACAACAGGTTGTAGATTTAAAAATGCTTATCGTACGGCTGCTGAGCCGCCCAAGTCCGATCACTACAAGTGCTCCTATCCTGGCCAACGATCAGGTGACATTATCGGTAGGTATGTAAGGGCCACATAAATCCTCCGTAGGCATCTTTGTTAGGACACAGGGATCTGAACGTCTGTGGGTGTTGCAATTTAATAATATGCATATCCACTGCATTACCCATTGAAAATACAACCGCCAATCTCCGTAGACGTATGGAGTACTCAAAGTAGATACCTACAGTTAGTATGGAAGCCTTAAAACAATGGCTTGTCTATTCGGGCAACTGCCGAATCCTTCTGCTGGACAAAAGACCGTCTGAAAGCGAATGGAAGAAGGGACTCAAAGCACAGAGAAATGCCAATGAAGATGAAAAACAATTCTAAAATTCTTCACGTACATTGATCATCCTAATATCTAATCATACCAAGGTATTTACTTCCACCATTGGATGTGTGATTGGTATCGTTCTTTACCTATATTACCTGCTGATCCTACCTAGATTAGATAGATTCTGACCGCTGCTGTTGGCACTGTTGGATAGATAGCTGCGAGTACCCCACCACCGACATCTCTGTCAGTGTCGGCTCTCATATACATGGCCAATCTCCCGACTCAAATTGTTGTCCCGCATTTGCAGTACAAGGATCGATGATTCCTTCCCCTGCTGAGCATTACTCAATATTCTGTCTTGCATTTTCAGCCTCTTCGCCATAAACATATAACTTTCTATCCCTGTCGGATAGAAAATATTACCAATATCCCGGGGAAGACAGCTGAAGGAGTAGTAGGTGTACTGACTTGGCTCTACTGAATTAGTGGTGGAGCTCTACCACACTCCTACTATGATTTGACATTGGTGATCCCCGCTTTCCATTAACATTTGGTATTATTCTGTTGGAACGGTTTCTGCCGTCCGCTAAGCACCTAGTACTAGTACTACCCTGTGTGCTATGCTTCTTCTTTTGCGAAATTCCGCAAATCGTTGAAAAGTTCCAGTTCCCATCTCATCGCTGCGTCCCCATTGTCGAAAACCCCACGACTTCCGATGTCGCGCCATTACTGACGCCCGTCCTTGTCCTCGCCGCCCCCGGCGGTGCTTTTCTGAAGCTCCCGTGATCACTATTCTCGTCGACGTCATCGGCCCATTGATCGCTTCCCGGCGAACTATATGCTGCTTAATCGGACGACACAAGATCAGTTCTTTCTAGAGTCCGTACCCAATTCGCAAGCCATTGCAACCCATCCATCATGCGGCGTCACGGCAGGGCTGGTGGAGGAACCAAGGCCGTCACGCCCGTCTCCGATACCGTCTCGTTGATACACTCATTCGACTCAGTCACAAATCCAAATCGACCTGTACGACCGTCCCCGTTGGCATCCTCACATATCCAAGCATTACCTCTGGACTTAATTGATCGACTACGTTCCTTTCCCCTGTTCCAATCCACTCCCGAATCGTTTCTGGTGGAGGTCGCACAGCATCTCCGCCCCCAACTCAGTGCTCCGAACGATTATATCCTGACGGAGGGTGACGAGGCCAAGGCGATATACTGGTTGGTTCGGGGCGCTGTCTCAGTCACTTCTCGCGATGGAGAAAGTATCTATGCCGATTTGGAACCGGGCGCGTTCTTTGGCGAGATTGGGGTATTGATGGACCGGCCCCGAACAGCCACCATCATCGCTCGAACGAGATGTCTACTGGTTGTTCTGTCCAAAGAGGACTTCAGGAACATTCTTCCCCGATTTTCAGAGGTGGAGCGAGCGATACGGGATGAGGCCCAGGAACGATTGATGATACTGGCGAAGAAGAAGAAGGAAACTTCAACACCTTCGACTGACCTCACTAGCCCTACCCGCAGAGGCTCGAAGAGACTAAGGGATTCGTCTTCTGGGGACCTATCACCTATCGAACGTGAAGGCACATCCCTGAAGGCTGGCAACAAAAAGCGCAAATCGCCAAGTCCTGGAGTCGGTGTTGCAGATGCTTCTTCAAGCGCGCTGGCAAACGGGTCGGTCAATGTCCGCCTCTTGCTTAAGGAATTGCCTCTCTTCTCCAGCCTTCCCCCGGACATACTACACTTTCTAGGGCTCAATGCTCAACCACGATCGTACCCTCCATTCACGGACATTATCCGACAAGACTCCCAGGGACGTGAAATTTATTTCATTGTGCGAGGCGAAGTTGAAGTTCTCACGGAAAGAGCGGACGCACAAGACCGCCACTCTCTACCAACTACTATCGAGAAACCACCATTCGAAGTCAAAGCAAGACTCAAACAAGGGCAATACTTTGGAGAGGTTGTGAGTCTGTCGCTGGCGCCCCGCAGGACAGCGACGGTACGCTCTGTTACTGCAGTCGAGTGCCTCATGCTTAGTGGCGATGTCCTCGCCGAGTTCTGGGACAAGCTTCCCCAGAATGTCCGCCAGCAGGTCGAGAACACGGCCAAGGAGAGACTTCAGTCTGCGTCTGATGGTGACGTTGTCATGTCAGATGCAGGAAGCGCTGATCAGCCAACCGATGGGGAGTTTAAAATCAGAGCTGCTCGGCGACAATCAATGCCGCTTTTGACGCTCACAGAGACAGAGTTGGATAGCCCGCGAGCTCCCACTGCCATGGACGATCAGAATGTGTTGAAACCCTCAGATCCTGACCCTTTTCTGAATGTTGGCTTGGACAAGGTTCGACTACGCAGCCGGCGCGGGTCCGTCGCCCCGTTGACACCAGACGAGGTATCTGGGGAGCAGCAGCGACAATCACCTCCGTCTGGGACTCGTTCGACTAGGTCGTCCCTCCACTCCCTTTCCGAGACATCGATTTTGTCGACAACACAGAAGACACGCCGCGAGTCACGCGGCGATAATGTCGGCATCCTACCGGACAATATACTCGTGAGGATTTTCCAACACCTGGAGCTTCACGAACTTCTGCGCCTTAGAGCTGTCTCTCTGCACTGGTCTGAGATTCTTACCAAGTCCTCTGAACTCGTTCGTTATCTTGATCTAAGCATGTATAATCGCAAGCTTAGCGATGATGTTTTGGTCAAAATAATCTGCCCTTTTGTGGGAGAACGACCTCGCCACATCGATATCAGCAATTGCTTCCACATCACCGACGAAGGCTTCTCGAAACTGGCCGCTACATGTGGCGCTAACGTCGTCACTTGGAAGATGAAAAGTGTCTGGGATGTTACTGCATCTGCCATTCTTGAGATGACTGGCAAAGCGACTGGTCTACAGGAAGTTGATTTGAGTAATTGTAGAAAAGTTGGGGACACGCTGCTGGCTCGGATAATTGGTTGGGTTGCTCCTGGACAACATAAGCCCAACGGCGAGACTGGAA